GAGCCACATACATGACCTAATAGTATGCGGCATAGTAATCAAGTACTGTACAGATTACTAACATCATTACCGCATCATTGCATTGTACATTACAGTTGCAAAGAACTTTCCTGGTTGTGCTTATGCAATCTGCAAAAATTAATTGGAGGTTCCCCTTCCTCCCTCAAATTGGCATGAATTTTTAACAAGTGTGGAGCTGAGCCCCCTCACAGCTCTACCAAGAGGGGACTGAGCCCCTGAGCTCCCCCTCTTCTACTGTAACACCCCTGAATGTAATAATATAGCAACAACTATACTCTCTTGATTTCAGGACTAACATGTCTATATTTGAAGTGTATAAAGCCTTGTCCGGGAGGGTTTGTTATTGATAGATATGGTTGTCGAACTTGCATTTGCAAAAGTAAGTGAATATTCTAATCTATACATGCAGCTGCATGAGCGACTGCGTGAGGGACTGCATGAGCGACTCTATAACAAACATACTTGCAACGAGGAGGTGCGTTCAATCTCGAACCCACCTGCTGACGTATGTTTAGGAGGTGGGTTCGAGATCGATGTTTCAGCGGCGGCCATTATGAAGCGATTCGGAACAAATTTCAGACGAAGATTTAAATAAAAAATAAATTAACTGTTTTGAATTGTTTTATAATTATTATATTTTTTATTTTGTTTGATGAAAATGGAATATTCTGTATTCAAAGTGGATGAAAAGAAAGATGGCCGCCGAAATTTGTTCGGCACGGGCAGATTTATATAAATCGTGGCATTGTTTTCGCAGAATGTGTTCATTTTCTCTTTTCAAAAATAAGGGAATATTGTAGAGAATTTTTTTAGCTTTAATTTAAGCCTAAGTTTGTTTGTTTGTTTGCATGTGTACTATGTTGGCGGCTAAAATGTTCGTTATTCAAACACGAAATTATATACCAAAAAGTAAAATGCGTATAAAATTCTTCAGTACTTTTTAGTATTTTACCGAAATGGCATGTGATAGAAACCAAACATACTTGCAAGTTCGGTGAGTCCTTGATTGGACGCACCTCGGGAAACTTCCAGCCACGCCAATAGGTGAAAGCCGCTAATACGCTAGGTATGAGATAAATGGCACATGCGTGAGCGACTGCATATACTTCCAACAGGAGTCGAGTGGTTGTATATCATCGTATGCAACATGATCGTGAATTACGTACATATATATAGCTTGTGATTCGCGAAAGCAAACTACACGTTTATGTAAATCAGGAGGATTTTGTATATTATTGAACATTCAATTATATGTACTAGTTAAAATATGAGCTGCTGATCTTTCCGGGCATTTACAATGGAGAGCGCGCAGCGAGAGCCATTGTTAAATGCCTATAAAGATCAGTTGCGAAGTCATTATGATTTGTGAGTCTATGCTATCCATGAGTCAGGATGGATTATTACGATAAATGTTGTTATCAAAATATCGATCACAGATATTTGATTAATATATATACGATTTCAAATACTTCCAGTTTTAATTTGAATTTTTTTTTTTTTGGGGGGGAAGGCGAAAGCCATTCCGCCCCCTCCCTTATAAAATTTTTGGGTTAGGGTTCCTTGCCCCCCCCCCCTCCCCCCTGCTTCCTACGCTAGTGCATGCGGTCACTAACTTGTTTATCCGAGCCTTCCAACAACTCAAATCTATAGGGTCTGGGATATGCAATCCACTGGAAAATGTTTAAAATCTAAGGTATTTACAACACAATGTTTAGCATTTTTAAAAAGACATTGAATTTAAGGATAAAAGACAGGACATAAGATTCACACAAAATACACCAGGTTAAGTGTAGATTTACACTGTTCAAGTGGCATATTTAACATCGAATAAGTGTATATTTACACTATCACAAAGTGTAACATAACACGGCGTTATGTTACACTTTGCGATAGTGTAAATATACTTTACGCGCGCCCAAATGCGGTAATATTATACATGCACCTTTTTAATGTAAATTTACAAGTCTAAAAATATGATGTTTGGTTACTTTACACCAAAAAAGTGTTACCGGAACGCTACAACGTACTACAATCTTGGACATAACTGGTTGAGACTATTTTCCCCCCTACACAAAATTCGCATATTCTTATGATAAATTCCATGTTGAATCATGTTGCCCTTCTCCCCCGCTCCCCCAACTCAATGTTGAGCTTGTGTCATGGTACTACCAATGTTTACAACATTGAACTGGGGGGGGGGAGGGAGGGGAGGGGGAGACAAAGTTTGTTTTGTCAATGTTCAATAACTTTGTAACATTGCAGTGGCGTAAATCTTCAGTTATGGGCCCCCGGTTGAAGTAGTTTGGAGGGCCCCTTAATTATACATCTTCCCCGAATTTTTTTACAATGCTAACCCTACGCATTGAATTTTGGACGACCATGAGGAACACGAGGTCCAAATATTGCACCAAATTCTGCAACAAAATTTGCGAGAGTATATTATAGCTACTGAATATAACTATTACTACATCAATTATAACCCTGTAAACACAGTAAAAACCCCAGCTCCATTTTCTATTGATTATAAGCAACAGCAACAGCAACAACAACATATAGTTCATGGGGGTGAGAGGTCTTCCCCAGAAAATTTTGTAATCTATAACACGATAACCTTAATTCGTGCATGCATATAAGAAATTTTTGTTAAAATTTTTGTTAAAATTTCAACACGGAAGAATTTGCTGAATTTTACAAAAAAAAACATGATATTTTTAAAAATGTGTGTGGCTTCTATTTATTTCGGCTTCCAAGATTAAACAAAACTACAATTCTAATTGTGTCCCACCCTAAAAGTTATCTTTTGAAAAATAAGGCCTCCTGCTCTCTTCCTCTGTTAATAATGAACGGTCCCTTGAAGCATTGCCCTCTGGGATATGTTACTAACAAATATTGGGGTAATCGTTCCATGTTTCGCGCACCAATATAGTAAACGTTACGTAATGGATATAATAGTGTACTGAAAAGCTAACTGAATACACATATATAGGCTACACACCCTAACCCTAACCCTAACCTTAATTAAACCTAACCCCAACCCTAACCCTAACCACTATGACCTCTAACTACTAACCCCTAACCCTAACTTTTTAAACTTTTTTAACTTTTTTGAAAATTTAACATTTTAAACTTTTTTTGCTTTTTAAAACTCTTTTAAAACATTTTTAAAACTTTTTTAAACCATGTTTTTGAAAATCCTGAAAATCTTTACGCCTTGTGCCAACCTTTTAAAGGAAAAAAGCAACATATCTGATCTATCTGTATGATATCGAGCACTCTTTAGCATTTCGTGAACCAAAACACACTCGTTTGGTTCAAGTATATTACATGCAGATAACACTTTTACGCACTTTGAAATCGGCTATTCACGAATCCATATAGATATTGGACTCATTATATTTCAACTGACCGATGCAGCATTGAAAATAGGATATTTAATTTAACAATTATTCGCCGAAGGCGAAGTGATTACCGGGGAATATTCGCCGAGACGGAGTCGAGGTGAATATTCCCCGTTAATCACCGAGCCTGAGGCGAATAATTGTTTTAGTATTTTTACACAAGTCTTTTGTGTTTTGGGGACTGAATTTATTTTAATTTCGCTTATTTCTTTATCAGTAACCTCCACAAAACGGCTATAGCCGCCATTTTGAAAATTTCGGTTTTGTTATATTCACCTGTAGGTGAATATAACAGCTTAATACGTCAAATTTGACCAATCAATGTGTAGGATTTGTAATGTTCACTTGTGCAAAAATACTAAGAATTAATAGCTGTTTCCTTAACTTAAAAATATACTCATGAATATACTTAATATACCTCTATATATTGCTGATTAGTGATTTTTATACATCCGTGTCAATTTTTTTGGCAGCAATTTGCCCACTCCTCAAATGTAAAGCATGTCGCCCAGGATTTGGTTATGTCAACGATGCAAAAGGATGTCAAACCTGCAAATGTGCACGTAAGTTAAATAAATCCGCAAAGAGCAGTTCCTTTAAAGATGTCATCATTACGAATCCTTGTTTACCGATGTTTGCAAAATTAAGTCACGTTGTTTTTCAGGTTGCAGGTTTCAATCCGTACGCCCAGTGGCGTTGAACGCTCATTGGGTAGGGTTAGTTCAAAAACTAAGGGCCCCCGACAGTTAGGGCCCCCCATCAGCCACGGCCTATCGCCAAGAAAATTAGAAAACGTAAAAAATGCAGGTTAAGAATCAATATGGGAAATTGACTAGATAGTATCGCGTCAACGTATATCCGGAAATGGCTTGAACTTCCTATTTCTGCAACCCTTAGTAACGTCCTACTTCCTCACAATAAATTTGGATTGAATATCATTCTACCTTCAACCAAATTCCTTCAATGCCAAACTGTTTCTCGGAAAGCTCTAAAGTCGTCGCCAAATGAAGCGATCAATAACCTTTGGAAGGACACTAGCAATCACAAAAATGTACAATATGACAAATACAAAAACACCAAGTCCAAGGACGTATTATTAAACACTATCAGGAAACAACACGAAGACAAGCTTCAACACCACCTCGAGCTCATTTCACAAGGCTCATTTTTCTCCAATATCATTAAACATTCGACACTCTCATTCAACTCTATATGGTCCTCCTCTATATGGTCCGACGTTCAAAGTAAACTTCCCAAGAATATATTTAATTTCACTATCCGGTATATAAATAACACTCTTCCGACTCGCAAAAACCTTCAGAAATGGGAAATATCATTAAACCTACCTAAATAACAACGCCTAAATAAAGGACGTTTCACGTGGCGTCATGATTCGGTGCTTAACTTCATAGCGTCCATACTTAAATATGTGGACCATTCTGACCTTTACGCTGACCCTTCCTGGCTATATCAGTCCATTTGTTCTCACCGGAGATGAATTACGCCCTGATCTTTTGATAACACTTGAAAACAAATGTAATATACAATTATATACTTGAACTTACGGTCGGATTTGAATCAGACTCTAATCTCCTCACTAATGCAACTCGAAAAAGACAAAAATATCAAGATCTAATTAATGAACAGCTCAAAAATTATGAAAAAGTAAAATTTCATGCACCTGTATCTCTTACTCCCTAAATTTGGCCTGCTACCATCACTGCAATACTAACTTCATTATTAACCTAATAAGAGTCTTAATTATAACTATAATGCAGTCGTAAACTGTGAATCTTAATCGGTTTATATCGTTACGGTGCAATATTCATTGGTAAAACGTTGAGATGGTAAAAACTAAAAAAAATCACGAGTCGTCCGAATGGTAGGTGATTTTTTTATTCCATCTCAATATTAAAACAAAAGTTATTCTTATTGGTTGTTCATGTGTTGGAGACTGTTATTGCTATTGTTATAGACACGGAATTTTCCAGAACATTCTGTATAAATATTCAATATAAATATAATACCTCAGTCAAACAATGACAACGGTCAACAGGGGTCCCCACACCAAATATGCCTAAAGGCCCCCTCTTTCTCCGTTACGCCACTGCGTGAACCTGTATAATTATACTGCATGGCTTTACCTGCATGGATAGGGGAAATGAACTTATATTTCTTGACTGCATGCTTCATGATCAGTAAACTAGGGAGTAAAAAATAATTTTGTTTTGGGACTGCTGCCGAGGCCTTGATAATTCCTCATATCCTACGAGAACCGAATTAATTCAATAATTGTTTTATTATTTATTTGTATATATATATATATATATATATCGGACTTAGGCACGCTTGCATTGTAAACAAGAACACGCAAGCTACTGAAAATGGAACAATAATATAGTGTTCGCAAGACTGAATAAGCCAATCAGACTAGGAAAGAATATTTTTAAAACTGTTGTCCAGTATTACAAAATCAAACAAATGAATTCAAACAAATTTATTTCAACTGAATATAAGCGTTTGAAAGAATGCTACAGATTTTACTGACCCCATTTACACTTCAAATATACAGAATATTTATATAAGAATACAAATTATCGAGAAAATATACAGAATATTTATATAAAAAGTACAAATTATCGAGAAAATATACGGAATATTTGTATAAAACTGATACAAATGATCAAGAAACAAGTGTTCTTCAACTGTTCTAACACGAATTTAAATATTAACTTTAACATTTATAAACATTTTACTCGTGAAAGTGAAAGACTCAATTTCAGTATCTTTGCTTACCGTAGCCAGGGCAGACATGTCAGGGTTTATAGCGTTACGAATTTCAGCTGCGTGATGTTCGCTGGAATCAATTGCAGAAGACAAACAACCGGCCATTTTGCTCTTCGTTAAATCGCCGGTTTTAGTGTAGCTCTTTAAACTGCTCTCACTCAAGCTGTGACCACTCATGGACATGATGTGTCTTGCTTCATAGCCATTTCTGTCGAGGATTGTAATTGTGGTTGCTCGAATCGAGTGCCGGGTTGGTATATTCAGTCAACGGAAAGCTTTGCTTCTTTTGATAGTATACTTTCATCTTCTTGCCAAGCGTGTTTTCGCCGACGACAATATTGTCATACCAAATTATCCGGCGTCAGAAGGACTGCAACGCTTCGGTCTTTGGAAAAGAAACTCGTTAAAGGGATTAAGATGGGTCAAATATTTCTAGAACGAATACACAGGGCAGTAGGGACTATCGTTGGCAACCATCATTCCCCTTTCCTCGGCTTAAGCGTCGTGTACACGATGGTTTTTCGTGAGTTCGTCCGTCTTTCTCGACGACAGAAGAAGAACATGATTTCAAAGAAGACTTTGTTTTGCAAAGTAGCGGGACTGTCTGTATTGAAAACGCCGCTTTCGTATAGTTTTTTGAAGTCTTCGTCGGCTATTGGCGGCTTGTGTTCAGTTTTGGCAAGTCCTCGTTTCTTTAAATATACGTATTGAGCCTCGTACACGCTATTTGCTTCTTCAAACTCTTTATGATGATGATGATTTTATTGATCCATCTTTAGTTTAAAAATACAATGGATTTACAAATATGTCTATTAAAAGAGAAGAGCATAACTAAGCATGCAATAATATTTACAAACTATCTAAAATTTATATATATACAATTTGGCGTAAAAAATTTAAAAGTCTAGGAAATTATTTAAAAAGTTAATAAAAACCAAGTTTGGTTTTAGTGCAACCCCTGTCTCATTGCTCGTGGGACAAAACTATTTCTGTGTCGTTCAGTGCCTGAGAAAGGTGCGTATTTAAATATACCGTCTCTACGCCTAGATTATAGTTATGTTTATTATGTTCCATAGTTCGTTGATAAAAGATATGACTTGGATCACCTAAGATGTTAACGAGTTCCCTCGATGTGACTTCAATTCTTCTCTCTTCGAGAGTTGGCAGGTAACCATGCGGGAGGCCAATAATTCGTAGACTCCTCCTTTGCACACGTTCCAATTCGTCCTTTAGATATCGTGGCAGACCACCCCACACTGGAAAACAATATTCAAGGATAGGCCTGATTTTAGTTAAATAAGTGGTGAGACCCACTTCGACTGGTAGATTCGCTCTTCTACATTCTCGTAGGCAGTACAGGTTTTTAGCTGCTTTGCGGGTGGTCTCCTCGACATGTTTATTCCATTTCAGGTCATTTTGAAACCAGGTTCCCAAGAGTTTAAAATTATCGA